TACTCATGTGATGACATAGCTAACCGAATATGAGCTGAACATGGTTTTTGAAAACAAAATTTGCTGAACATACCATAATTATTAATTAATTTAGAACATAATTCGAATGGGCAATACAATTGGATATTTATGTGAGGTAGAAGCAAGCCTTAATTTGGTAGGATTTTGATTGAGCTTGTTCAATAAGAGTCGTGGGTTATTTTGGAAAATTTGTAAGCAGATTTTAAGGGTGATTTTGGAACAATTTTGATTTGATTTGATTTTGTTTTTGTGTTTTTGCTTTTCATTTTTGAAAATGAAAATTGGGATAATGAAGAGTTTCTTGGGACACCTATTGATATTCCTGCCTCGATAATGGCTTATGATTTCGTGATTTTGAGAGTGGACAGAGAAAGGGGTAAAAATTATTGGAGTCTATATCAATTTCTTAGACAAAGAAATGATGGCAAATCTTATCACCTCTTTAGACTGGATATGTTAAGAAATAATAATTTAAATTTAGACCTCTGTCTCTCTTGGAATTAGAATATTTGTCAAGTAAAATTTAAATTTATAATTTTATTAAAACGTTCATTAACGGAAAAATTACAAAATAGGAGATAAAAAGAATGCCTCCATAACTGAATTGCATAAGAGTTAGTGGTCACAATTATATAATTTAATAAAAATTATCATTCAATTAAATATTTATTAATTTGTATGACTACTTGGACTTAAGTGTATAATTGATTGTTTTACTAATATTGTTTTACCAAGGTAATTCTAGAGTCAGTGACTCCCCAAACGTGTGAGTTTGCCAGCTTGGATAAAGTTCAACAACAACTAATAAATGCTTTCAAGGGGAAGAAGTTCTTAATTGTTCTAGATGATATCTGGAATAAAAATCATGGCGATTGGATGACTTTGAAAAGCCCATTCAACCACGGTGCCCAAGGGAGTAAAGTCTTGGTGACAACCCGCAACAAGGACATCGCTATGATGATGGGAACCGTTAAAGATCTAAGGGTTGGCCTCCTATCTGATGCAGATTGCTGGTTATTACTAGAGCAACATGCCTTTGGGAATAAGAGCAAAGGTGCAAATCCAAGGTTGATATCAATTGCTAAGGAAATTGCAAAGAAATGTGGAGGTTTGCCTTTAGCTGCTAGGACGATTGGTGGCCTTTTACGGTGCAAAGAACTGGAGAATGAATGGGAAATAGTATTACATAGTAATATCTGGAATTTACCCAAAGATGAAAATGACATTGTCCCGGCTTTGAGATTAAGCTTCCATTATCTCCCTCCACATTTAAAGCAATGCTTTGCATATTGTGCAATATTACCCAAGGACTACGAATTTGAGCAGAATGAGCTAATCTTGTTATGGATGGCAGAAGGTTTCATTCAACAACAAATAGGACAACAACAAATGGAAGAAGTAGGAGCAGTGTACTTTCAAGAACTGGTGTCTAGGTCCTTTTTCCAACCATCTAGTAGTATATTTTCAAATTCAACATTTGTAATGCATGACCTCATCAATGATTTGGCTCACGAAGTAGGAAGAAATTCATGTTTTAGACTAGAGGATGTCCTGAAGGATGGGGAGCAGCACGGAGATCTGATGAAGGCTCGGCATGCATCATATATGCGAGGTTATATAGATGGGATGGGTAAATTTGAGACCTTCTACAAAGCCAAGAATTTGCGGACGTTCTTACCCTTTCCTTGATGATTGATACTTCTTGTTTGACAAGGAGTGTTACCTTTGATCTATTGCCAAAGCTACGCCACTTGAGGGAGTTGAGTTTGAGAGACTATGCAGTTGAAGAAATTCCAAGTTCAATTGGCAATTTGAAACATCTACGGTATATCGATCTTTCTGACAGCTGTATTGAAAGCTTACCGGACTCACTTGGTAACCTTTGCAATTTGCAAACTCTAAAATTACAAAGATGCCATTGTCTCAGGAAAATTTCCTTTGACATGGGAAAGCTAACCAACCTACGCCATCTTTATTTTCCTGATTATCTAGAAGAAATGCCACTAGGAATTGGTAAGCTAACAAGCTTGCAAACATTATCTCACTTCATCATTACGAACGGAAATGGGTCTCGAATAAAGGAGCTTGGAGACTTGAATCATCTTGGAGGGACACTTTGCATTTCTGGATTAGAAAACATAGTTGATGTTGAAGATGCACAGAATGCCAATTTGAAAAACAAGCTAAAATTAAGCAAGTTATCAATGTTATGGAGTAAGACTTCAAGTGAATTACGAGATCAAGGCGTAGGAGCAGAAATGTTTGATGCATTACGACCTCCCAATAATTTAAGAGAGTTGAATATAGAAGGCTACCATGGTATAAGGTTTCCGTGTTGGATGGGAGATCCTCAATTCTCAAGCTTGGTGACTGTAATTTTGGTAAGTTGTTGTAATTGCACATCCTTGCCACAATTGGGACAACTACCATCGCTTAAGAAGGTTTTTATTGGAGGAATGACAGCAGTACGGTGTGTTGGACATGAATTTTATGGGCAGGGCTTTTCCAAGCTACAAGAACTAAGCTTCTGGGATATGCCAGAATGGGAAGATTGGCAAACAACTGAAGCTGTCAGGGAAGTTCAGCCCTTTTCTCATGTCAGTAAGCTTTTTATTAATAATTGTCCCAATCTATTGAGAAATTTGCCAGCCGATCTTCCCTATTTAGAAACTCTTATAATTAAGAATTGCCCTAAGTTGCATCTTGAAGTCTCAAAGCTCAATTACCCATCACTCGCCTCCCTATCCATGATAGATGTTCCATTTCCAATCCTTTCTATTGATGAGATGGGAAAACATCTAGGGCATATTTCCCTTGCCTCTTTAGATATTGGAGGTTTTCCAATTCCTAACTATTTTTCTAATCCAAGCAGAGATGACGAAATAATTTTGGAAAATACAGTGTGTAAGCATTTAAGTGTAGGAAATAATTTGGAAATTGAGAATGTTGAAAAACTTGTTTTCTTGCCCAAATGGTTTACTCAAGTACTGACCAAAGTTCAAATATTAAGAATAAGAGACTGTGGTGAACTTCTAACTCTGTGGAAGAACAATGGGATGCTACACCATTCTCTTCAAGGTCTTAGGCATCTAGAGATTGAATCATGCAGACAGCTTGTTTCCTTGTTTGATGGAAAAGAATATGAAAACGAAGGGCAAGAGCAGCAGCAACTTGAAGTGTTGCCTGCGCTAGAGTTTCTGTTAATAAAGGAGTGTGGAAAGTTAGATAAATTGCCACAGGGATTGCACAACTTCATGTCTCTTAGAGATCTAACTATATATGGATGTCGCAATCTGGTGAATTTTCCAGAACATGGTTTTCCTTGTACAGTGAGAAGACTTGAAATTCAGCTATGTGATGCTTTGCAGTGGTTGCCTTTATGGAATGTGCAAGACAGTAATCTTGAGGAGTTAGTTGTTGGATATTGTGAATCGCTTGAGTACTTAATACCATCAAGTGGTGGGTTACCACTGACATTAAAACATCTTTCCATTTGGGATTGTGAAAAAATGTTTGCATTGCTAGAAGAGGAGGAAGGAGTAGTCAACTTGCCATGCATTGAGTTTTTAACAATTTCCACTTGTAACAGCTTAAAATTCTTGCCAGATGCCGGTAGTAATAATCTCAAGAGGCTAATTCAATTAAATGTATCCAATTGTCGAAATTTGGAGCACATTTCCCAAGCATGGTTCACCCTTCCAACCAATCTTACAGATTTGGAGATTCGTGATTGTGAGAAACTAGTACAGAAGGATCTCTTCTCAAACATGAGCCTCACTTGCCTTAGATTGCTCCATATTGAAGGAGGAATTGAAGTCTCGTGTTTAAGGAAGAAAGTGAATTCATTCTCCAACCTCACCGAGCTACGTATGGGAAAGATGAATACATGGATGCCACCATCAGAGTGGGGTCTAGATAGACTCTCGTCTCTTGTAGTTCTCAGTCTTTGTGGGCCCATTGTTATTGTAGAGTCGGAGTCGAAACATACGGAGGTAGACAAGAAGTGGTCTAGCTTTCCATTCCATGGCATGTTGTTGCCCGCTTCTCTAACCGACTTGGATATCTTTGATTTCAAAAATCTGAAGGCTTTATCTTCACAATTTCAACACCTCACTTCTCTTAAAGAATTTCGGATTGCACGCTGCCCTATGCTTGCAAACTTTCCAAATCAAGGGTTCCCTCGCTCCTTATTGTCACTTGAGATCTATGGTTCCCAAAATTAAAAGAGAGGTGCCAGAAAGGAAAAGGCAAATATTGGCCCTTAATTGAACTCATTCCTGATGTCACAATAAGATAAGCAAATTGGAATGCATCATCACTCACAGTTCTCAAGTGATTCAGGTAAAAGGATCTTAGTTACAATCATTGTTTTTCTGTGCATTTTGAATTTTGAATTTTGATTTTTTTTATATAATTCAATTTTTGGGCTAAATTTAGGAAAATTCTAGTGATCTTGGGCTTTTCAATTGATATTGTGCAAGCTTTTAATTATTTTTAAGGGATTTTTTACTAAGCCTTTTCTTCTTTCAAAAAAAAAAAAAAAGAATTAACAGTACATATCAATTAAAATCAAATAACTAGCAATAAAATACCCGTAACAGACATGCCTTTGACAAAACTTGTGAATTATTAGCCAAATAAATGTTCTAATACGCTATGTGTAATTGCATGCATTCAGCTGAGTCATTCCAATGAAGCAAACTTATTGATCATCCAACCTTAATTATTTTTCCATCCTTGTACCTCAACCTTGCTTCATCCATTAAATAAACGAATTTGTAAATTTATTTTTTCTTACTCACCATCTCTTTAAAGAAATGTATACTTCTCTTTAAAACTTTTGAACAATCACAATGCTGCTATCTGATGCAATTTTGTTGCTTTTAATTAAACTAGGTGTATGTTTAATTACATAAATGAATGCTTAAAAAGTGTTTATATAAACACCGTGATGAGCTCTTCTTTGAAATTTGTATCAGTCACAAAATTTCGAAGAAACTAAGTTGGAAGGAGCCATTGCCTACATTATAAGGTGATTTAATGTTTCATTCCTCTACTTTCCACTCACTGTCATGTGATTTTAAATTATATTACCAATTCATGGTTCATGGACAAGTCCCTCTCCCATAAAAACAAATAATTTGATCCTAGATTAAATAAATTAATTTTGTTTTCTTTTCCTGAGAAAAAAAAATTAAATAGACTCTTAGCTAAAGTGTTCTATTGAATATTTTAATTTGGTAATTAAACATTTCTACCCATATACCTACTTCATACAGCTACTCCAGTTACAGGAGATTCGTTAATAGTCCGTCCAAGAGAATTGCCCTGTAACTGGCCTTCCTCTTGGTGAGCTGATTAGAGTCTTGTTTATATAAAAAAGTTGACAAGTCTTGTCAAACACTAATAACATTCTTTATTTTCTTCTGTTTGTTTTTTTGTTTTTTTGTCTTTTTTTTGGTGCAGGCAAGTCAGAGAGGTTTGAAGCTTGACCAAGAAATGGGATGAAATTTAAACTATGCATTGCCAATTGGAAGAGGATGGATCTGTGCAACTGATCTTGAGGTTGATGGCTATCTCCCATTTCCTATTGCTTGGGGTTATGTGCAAATTCAAACGCATGATGGTGGCAAAGATTAACTCACAATAGGTAATATTGTCACACTTTCTGGGAATATAATCAAAATGTCTTTGCTGATTCATGTCATCAGAGTATCTATTCATCAAAATTCTAATCTACAACGTTTGAATATAAGAATTTTTTTAGGTGATAATGTTTCATCATGAAAATATATTTCATTTAAAAAAATTTTTCAAAGTCTAAGAGAATTAGCTGTACAAAGATTTATATTACTTTGTATTGGTTAAGATGTGCTGCAGAGAGTGGTGTCATTTATGTGTTTGTGAGCTACTAAATATTGCTTGTAATGCAAAATATTGTCCAGCGACAAATTTAGTTAGTTATTAGGACATTTCTATTTTCAAATGCAATCTTTGGATACAAATCATCTATAGGTGCTCTTGCTAATACTGTGTTATTGAGTTCATGGCTCTGTTTTAATGGTTTGAGCAGTAAAGTTTTGAGGACCTTTTAATTTTCAAGAAATAATAACTTAGTCCTCTATCTAATAAAAATGTAATGAAAAGATGGAAACATTTTCTGGATATGTTACATTGTCTTTATTTCGTTGTTGTTACTAATAAAATCACTTTTAAATTTTGCATCCTAAAACATACATGTTTTGTAGTAGAGATGTCTTCTCCCCTTGATCAAATCAGGCTTTGAAAGGTGCAAGAAGCCACTGACCACATCATGTGGCGGTATTTTCATTTAATCTTTCATTTGTTCTCATTTCCTTAAGTTCCAAGTAATTTTAATTTATATTTCTGATTCATAATGAAAAATTAATTATTTATTTGTCCTCATCTATTACCCTAAAAAAAAATAATAATAATAAAAAAATAAAAAAATAAAAAAATCAGTTCTGAACTCCACAAATACTTGTCTTTAGTATTCTAATGTTATTGAAAATTTCAGTTGATTTAAGTTTTTCGTTGCGATCAAACTGTTCATTGGGTGTTTTTATTATTTTTGTACAATAAGATGCCACGTCTAATCAGAAAACTCTACATGTTTCTTTCTATTATGGTCTCCGAAGGGCCAGGCATAGAGACAAAGTCCAAGGTGGAAGTTGAACCGAGTGGAAAAGTTAGATATAAGAACCTGGTGGATCTGATTGGGTATTGTGTAGAAGGTACTAGAAGGTAGTTTTCATAATCAAATTAGTTTCCAAACTGTGTTGCACTGTATAACTATTTGCTTTAAATTTAAAATACATCTAAGTGGAACCCCATTTCTTGCCACTACTAATAATGTAAGTTGGATGTTCCAAGAAATTTGAAACGGTTCTATTGCTTCAATATTTTATCCGAAGTTAATTTGTTAACTCTAATCATCATCTTGGAAAAGGGCAGAGGCTGGAAACTAATTCTAACATTCATGGCATAAAGCTCCCCCGCCAATTCTCTCCTTCCTAGGATGTAGAGGTGTTGGGGAAGTTGCACTGTAGTAGTTTAATTTTTAAGGAAATTACCAACTGTCACCATTACTTATCTAAATTATGGTTCCACATTTTTGCATTTTTTCTTTTTATATATATTTTGCATCATAGTTCTTTTCTATAGTTTTATACTTCTCTTGCCTAAACAGTTATATTATCTCCTTTCTGCACAGGGAGTATTTTTTATCTTGTTCTTTTTGCCTGAGCTATATCTCTTCATCATGTGACAGACTAGCATATTTACATGAAGAATCAGAACCAAAAGTGGTGCATTGTGATGTAAAGTCAAGTAACGATGTTCTGAATTGAAAATGGGATGCAAAAGTCTCAAGTTTTGGACTGGCCAAACTCTTGGGACCTGAGAAAAGCTATATGACTACAAAAGTGATGGGAACATTCAAGTTTGTTTTTTCTTCTCTTATGTAATTAATCAATTAAGCTATTAGAAGTAAAATGTGAACAAAAATGTCTTTGTGCTGTATAATATTGTTACTGAATCTTGCATTGCAACTGCAGATATGTATCTCCTGTCCTGAGCATGCAAGAACAGGGATGCTCAACAAGGGGACTGACGTGTACAGCTTTGGAGTTTTGCTTGTAGAATTAATTCAAGGAAGGTGCTTAGTAGATTATTCGAGGTCAGCTAGAGAGGTGAAAATAAGTCTTGTTTCATGATTCCAATTCCTCGTCCTTCTGGTTGTGGAATATAATACCTTTCTTGTTATCTGTTTCTGGATGAGCTTCAAATGAACTTGATTGATTAGTTGAAAGGAATGGTAGAAAGTTGGTGAGGGGAAAAATTGTTGGACCCCCTGATTCAAGTGCAGCCCCCCATAGAGCTTTGAAAATGGTATTGTTACTTTGCCTCCACTGCATAGATTTGGTTACTAATAAATTACCAAAAATGGGGCAAATTGTGCATATGCTGGACGCAAATGAGATTCCTTTCCCAACTATATGCCTTCTCTTTCCGTGTGTATGGATATAATTGATTAGTAGAGTTCTAAATGCAAGTCATTGTCTGGCAATGTCTTGTTAGGATTGAAAATACGTCTCTGTTGCATGCGTCATAGGGCCTGGTGGTCTTATTGGATAAAAAGGGGATGGCACAATACACTAAACTTTCTTGCACTATGGGAAGTGGTGCACACTGGATGTGCTAGAGTGTGTCATGACAAAGACTGCATTGGTGAGCTTCAAGTTTCATATTTAGTCAAAACACTACATTTAAATGACTACGTCTTGTTTTGTTGATAATTTCCTCCATTTATTTATCAGATTACCTCTTTTACCAATTTAAAATTGTAAAACAACTTTGTAAAGGTTTTAACAAAGTGGATATGAGAATCCAAATGCTTAAGAACGCTTAAGAAAGGCCCCACTAATCATGTTTGACGTGTATCAGACATGGGATAAGCTTGGACAAGAACTTCCTTCTCAATTTGTATATAATTTTTTCCTTAATTTGTAGATAGATTACGCACATGTCAAAAATTGAAAACTTGTAGGACATAGAATTGGCCAATTGTAATTCTCATAAAGCTTTTTCAGTGAGGGCAGTTTTGTAAAATTATCTAATTCTTGTTTTCATATCCATCTCGAAGGGACTTGGTTTGCCTAATTTGAAATAAGAGTGCATTGGCATTCTTAAAAATTTTGGATTTTTTTAAAAATATTTTTAGGTTTTGTGTCTTATTTTGTACACTAATTTGTCATGGTTCAAGCTGCAATTATCACTAGTTTGTTCTGACCAATGTTGGCATTCCATGATTTCTATTTTACCAATAATCTAAAGAAGAAATTCCAAGCTGCAATTATCACTAGTTTGTTCTGACCAATGTTGGCATTCCATGATTTCTATTTTACCAATAATCTAAAGAAGAAATTCCAGTTGATTGAATTTGTGTCCTAATCCTTCAATTTCCAAGTCTACTAAGCAACTATTTGAATCAATTACAGTCAAGTCACCTATTCTGATACTCTATTAAAATGTAATAACCCAAATTCTTAAATAAATAATTTGGGGGCTTAATTGTGAAAATTAAAAGTTCAGGGACTTGGTTTGGGAATCTGGAAACGGGGGTCCAATTGAGATTTGTCAAGGACTAAATTGAAGAGAAAACAAGTTACAGGACTGAATCTGAGAAAAACAGAAAAGTTTAGTCCAATTTGGAGGCCGGAAGCTTTGACAAGAAATTAGCCGCTTTTAAGCTGCTTTTGCAGCAATTGAGGACTCATTTGGCTGCGATTGGCATTAAGATTGATTTCCCCTCAACCAATTTGAGAGTTTAGTGAGAGAGGGTGAAGAATTCCTCAGTTCTTGGCCGGCGGGGTTCTGCGGACTGGAAGGGGGATTTTCGGTTTTTAGCTTGTTAAATTGGAGATTTGCTCCGATTAAAGTTATTAGATCGAGTCATCGGGGCCTATCGGATGGTTTGCCTTCAAAATAATCCAGGTATGTTAAGTTAAATTGGAGAATTTTTGAAGTTTTGCTCTGGGTATGTTGCAAACCCAAATGCAGGCATTCGGGTCTGCAGTCGGGCAAAGAAGAAGGACCCGGATGGGGTCCGGGTCCTGTCTTCAAGCGGCCTGGCCAGTTGGGCCGGGTTCGGATGACTGGGCCGCAGGCCAGCCCAGCTTAAAAAAAAAAAAAAAAAAAAAAAAAAAAAAAAGAGAGAGAGAGAGAGAAGATTTTGGGTTGGGCCAAACTCGGCCCAAGCTGTTGGGCCAAGCCGGCCAGAGCCGACGGCCCAAGCTAGCGCCGAGCCGGCTGAGCAAGCCGAGCCAAGCCGCGGCTAAAAAAAAAAAAGAAGAAGAAGAAGTTGACTGAACCGGCTAGTGGCTTTGACTGGCCGGTTCAGTGGTCAAACAACCTAGAAATTGGGAAGTTGAACCGGTTCTGGAATCAGGGAGAAAAGACCTACTGAACCGAGTTAGTTCCGGGGTTCAGGGAGGTCGGTTTGATCAAAAATTTAGTGTTTTTGATTGAACCGGCCCGGTTCAAGGATAATTAATGATAAATTGGCTGGTTCAGCTTTATTTTGGCTCATTTTTTACCGGTTCATAGTGGTTCGTAGGGTTTTTAGGCCTTCTGAATCTGATTTTGAGGGTTTCGTGGCCAAACGAGTTCGAGATGAGGTAGTTTTAAGCCAGTTTAGGCTAGTTCAAGGGTTTTTGGCGATCGGTTTATTATGGTTCGGGATTTTAAGGGCTGGTTCACCATTGTTAAGGGTTGTTGAGCGGAAATTGACTATATTAGTGAAACACGTGAGTTTTTGTGATGGGTTTTGGTACCTTGGAATGCGTGCCAAGGGTCCTAGGATGGGATTTGAGCCAGTTCGGGCTACTAAGCCTGTGTCTTGTGCTGATTTTGGTATTGGTGATGATTTTGTGTGGTTTTGACTACAAATATGGTTGAGGAGATATATCCTGACCGGTGAGTCGGGTGGAGGTGACTCAGGACTTCTCTATTGACTTGGTTTCTGTACTGTGAGTGATGATACCCTCTCTGTGCCTGTGATTTCATACTGTGGTTTTCTGACATGATGATTATATGGTTTGAAAACTGTATTTTGACTATATTATACTCGGGATATGTGTTATGTGTTTTATGAATTGTCAGTGAGATATGTTGGTTTGTGATACAGGCTTTTGAGATGTAAACTGCATATAAGTATGTATACCTGTTTTTGACTTATACATGAGGTTGGTATTGTGATATGTGTTTTGGGGACGCCAGGTGGCTCGGCTGGAGGACAGCAATGCTGTGACGTCCAGTGCGAGGGCCCTGGGTTTGAGATGAGGTGGCAGGGATCGCAGGCGGCAGAGGCCGCAAACATGTTACGCACTGTTAGGTTGTATTGGGATGGCAGACTCAGCTGACGGACGGTGGACCATAGCGTACGGGGAGTACCTTGGCCCGGCGATGAGATGAGTTGTGTGGCTAAGGGCTCAGCCGGCGGACGGTGTGCTACTGTAGTGTGGAGGGAGTACACTGGCCCTATGATTGATGCGATGTGATGATTGATTACTTTGATGCCTCACATACGTGTTTTGATTACTGCTAACTGTGTATATGTGTATGAATGATTTTGTACTTGTGGCGTGATGCATATCCTAACATGCATAGATTAGGTATCATCTGTACTCGCTGAGTTTCGCGACTCATCCTTTTATTATCATTCCAGATCAGGTTGACTATCCGTATTCCAGTCGTGAGAATTTATCTTGAGCTTCGGAATTCGATCGATGTACGGGCACGTTTATTTATGTTACTGTTTTGTACTCTAGAGATTCCTTTGTTATTCTCAGACAGGATTCTAGTTTGTATTTAAAAATTTAGTTTGTATGATATACTTGATATTATTCATATGATATGATGGTTTGAATCATGTGAGATGGTCTTAAGGCTGACTAGGGTCGGTGGGCCCTAGTGCCGGTCACGGGCCGGGATCGGGGCGTGACATAAAACTTCTACCTTGACTACTCCTCCCATATGTATTTTTTATTTTTCTTCTTAGTTTAATTTAATTATTTAGTTTTTTAGAGATAAGTTATATATAGATTAAATCAAAGATGGGATATTGTTCTGAGTTTATACTTGCACCATTTAATCTATATAGAGATGGATGAAAAGATTGTCCCTTTTTAAGCTTAAACCTACAACTTCAGTTTAGTGGACTATATAAATGACTAGGAATCATATTCATATTAGTAAAGAGGTATCCTACTTGTCTGGATATCAACGAATTTAGATCCTTGATCATTAATAAAACTTCTTAATTAACAAAATTATAAAACACTGGAAATATATTTTGTTGTGCAATATTTTAGAAGTTTATTTCTTCTTTTTTTTTCTTCTTCTTTTTTTTTTCTTCTCTAAGAGGAAAGAAAGGTAGTTGCATTAGTTGAAGCTTCAAATTAAAGATTATTTTGGCAAAAGTCAGCTTCACTCTTCAAGTGTGTATTCTATTTGATTTTGTTAAAAAATGTTATCAAAACTATAGGATACAAAACTTATATTGGAATTATGTTTGAATGATTAACAATAAAAAACAGAATCCTGTTTAGTAATTAAAGCATAATTTTGTTCTACAGACAAAGTTTGAGAGGTTTTGAAAATTGATATTCAGAAATGGAGGACATTTGAGAAACTATGAATTTCTTCTTGAAAAATAATAAAAACAGGTGACAATGAAAGTGATCGACATGACACTTATTGTTATGGTCCTTTAATTCTCCTTTTTGAGAATACGTGAATAGTCATAATGACCGTTATATTTACTTTTGTAAGCTGATGGTAACAAAGGTTGAATTGTTGTTTCTCCTTTCTTTATTTGTAAAATATACAGCTAGTCTAGTCAAATTGAGTTGCCAGCAGCAAGTGCAATAGGTTACTTTACAATGATATAATTATTTTCTAAACTTATTTGACAATACTGCAAAAATATATATATACACATTAATTTTAGAAATTGCAGATCATGAATTTTCAAGACAACCGAAAGAGAGGTTACCTTAAATTTGTAAAAAATAATAATAATAATCTACAATATTTGAATGTAAGCATTTGTTTTTGTAATAATGTTTTGTCATGGAAAGATATTTCATTTAAAATATTTCTTTTAGAGTCTAAGAATATTAGCTGTGGAAATATTTGCATAGTTTCTTAAAAATTGAGTTGATTCTAAAAATTTAGAAAATTGTTTTTAAGCTTTTAGGTTATATTTCTTATTTTGTTCATGGATTACACAACTTGGCTTTATTGTTTATACAAATGCCTAGCAGAATATTATGACCATGTCCGAGTGCACTTCTATTCCTTCTAATGACTTTATAACTTATTTAGGGATATGGTTTAAGTGTGTAATTCTAATTCTTCTAGAAACTTTATAACTTCTCTTGGAAAACTTGTCCATGCATGGTCATGCATTTCTTATTTCCTTCTTTCTTTCTTTCTAGATTGTGATATTTTAGGATTGAAGTGAAGCTAGTTCAATGCAATTATCATCAGTGTGGACCGATCAATGCTGGGATTCCATGCTTTCTATTGGACTAATAATGTCTAGAAGAAATTCCATTTGATGCTCTTCAAGTCACTTGTTCTGATGCTCTATAGGAATTTCTACAGGGGCTACTCCTGCTAAATGTATTTTTTTTACTG